TCCATAGAAACTTTACTCTTCATACAGATTTGCCTTCCTGGCCTGCAATGTTTTTGCCAAAATCAGTGTCTGTGTACTTATAGAATTCTTATGTCTTATTCACCATCATGGTATTTCATAATGCTTCACTTCTGGCCAAGGAACTTATTTTACAGCAAATGAAGTGTGGCAACAAGCTCATGCTCATGGAATTCACTAGTCTTACCATGTTATCCATCACTCTGAAGCAGTTTAATAGTTCTCTTGACAATTCAGTTACTGTGCTGTGTGAGTAAAGACACTCTTTGGAATAGAGGTAATGTCCCTGCAAGGTGCAGCAAATTCTCTAAATCATCAACCAATATATGTTGCTGTTTCTCCCTTACCCAGGATTGTGGGTCTCAAAATCAAGGGATAGAAATGGGAAAAGCTCCTCTCACCATTACCCCTCATGATCCACTTGCAAAATTTGTTCTGCCTGCCCTGCAACTTTGGGTTCTGCAGGTCTAGAAGGCTTAGTTCCCAAGGGACAGATGTTTCTGCTAGAAGATCCAGCAATGGCTCCATTAAACTGAAAGTTGATACTGCGTGCTGGCCACCTCAGGTTTCTCATGCTACAGAACCAACAAACAGACATGGGGTTACTGAGCTGGCTGGGGTAATTACGACCATCAGGGAGAAATTGGATTACTACTAGACTGTAGGAGTAAGAAGTGTATCTGGATGAAGGGCACCTTTTAGGCTCTCATGTCCAGCAACAAAAGTAAATGGAAAACAACCCAATGAGGCAGGACTGCCAAAAGCTCAGATCCTTCAAAGGTGAAGATATAGGTCACCCCAACAGGCAAGGAACCATGACCAGGTACTTGCTGAGGACAAAGGGTGGATGGAATGGGTAGTGAAAGAAGGCAGTTATAAACATCAGCTACGACCATATGATCAGTTGTAGAAAGTAGGGTGGTAAGAATTATAAATATAATATTATAAATAGTTCTTACTTTTATAAAAATATATTTGATTATATACTAACTAATTCTTTTTTTCTCCTCCAGCTACCAACTAAAATAAAATGTGGTAAAGGTAGTTATCTTTTCTTTTAGTTTCATTGGGCTGCCATAACAAAGTCCCACAAACTGGGTGGCTTAAAACAACAGAATTTATTCTCTTAGAGTCTGGAGCCTAGAAGTCCAAAATCAAGGTTATCAGTAGAGTTAGCTCCATTTGGAAGCTCTGAGGGACAATCTGTTCCAAGCCTGTCTCTTAGTTTCTGGTGCAACCCAGCAACCTTTGGTGTTCCTTCGTTTGAGATATATCTCTCCAATCTCTACCATCCTCATCATGTGGCATTCGTTCCTTTGTGTGTATCCAAATTTCCCTCTTTTTATGAGGACAGCAGTAATTGGATTAGCTTAATCCAATATGACCTCTTTAAGAATTTGATTACATCTGCAAAGACCCTATTTCCATATAAGATCACATTTACAAAGGGCCTGGGGTTTAAAATTTCAAAAGCACATGTTTTGGGCAAACGTAATTCAATCTATGATATCCTTATATCTCAGTATTTAAATTATAGGATATCAATGACAGAGTGGATCTCAACCAGAAGAGGAATGAACTTCACCCAGAGATGGATTAAGTCACAACACATGGGGTTATGTATCCTCTTTTGGAGACAGGGTTAGCATGTGTTCAAGTGTAGAAATGACAGTTGCCTCTTATTAGAGAGAAACATCATTTTCTAATGTCTTTGCCTGGAAGTTATGTATGGTTAAAAGAAGTATAGGTGAATGCCAAGGTGGCAAGGATGGGGTGTGGTGGTTTATACAGTGTCAATTTAGCTAAATCAGAAACTGCATTTCCCTTTCGTGTTTCACACTGGGTTAAGGTTAGCCTTAAGAGAAACTTGCATGAGATTTGGGAGGCGGAAGTGAAGCAGCGGCCCCTATGCTCTGAAGAGGGCAACAGGCAATACTGTAGCCAGCACACAGTTTCACAGATCTGGGGATTCACCTGGGCTTAGGGCAGCAGCTGTGATTGCTGCATTACTCCTCCTTCAGTTTCACAAGTCCTGTACCAGGTATGCATTCAGCTCCCTGGCAAAGGGCACCGGACCCTTCTCCAAAGTCACCCACATCATTGAGATTGGTAAAAGGCAAATGTGGGTTCTAGATCTTCCTCCAGATTCCACTTTCCATGCAACACACACCTTGATACATGTGTCTTCCACCAGACATGGACAAAAGGTTGTCACAGAAAGGAAATCAGGAACCATGGAAAGCACTGGCATTGTCTACCACCTCCATAGGGGCAGGAAGTCTTCTTTTATCTAAATATTTTATTCTTGCCCATTCTTCTGGGGGCCAGTGCTCACATTTTCTGCTCACATCCACATATAATGACTGCCTCCGATTAGGGCTTGAAACCAAACGTCAACCCATATTTCCTGAGATTGGATATTGTATGTTTGGGGACTAAAACATAAAGATAATATGCTGTGGTTTATCTACAAAAGCCCGCTCACAAGCAAGGTGAAAGCCATATTGCTTATCTCTATTCAGTGTGGCTCGCCAGACATTTCACCATCCAGAAGATCTAGTTAGAGCAATTTATCAGTGCTCTATCTTAATCAACTTCTGAAGTGTGACTCAGGTCCCGGTTCTTTATTCTAGTATAGCTTTTCATCTTTTACTGTAGCCTCCAATTCTCTCTTTCTCATACTGTATTACCTTTTCAGAAGGTCATCTTTCCTCATTTATTGTCAATGTGTCATTGCTGGGTTGTGTATATTTCTTCTTTCCTATTTTCCCTTGTACATTTCTCCACTTGTCAGCTTTCCTGCCTCACCTCCCGCCTGCTTGTCCTGATCCAAACGCAGCTAGCACAAGCTCTTCAATGAAACGTGAGCACCATATCCTGGTTAATATGCGCTGATTGGAAAATTATTAACTGTTGAAATAAATGTATAGAGAGGAGCTGGAGCTGTTGTTCTGTTCAACTTAAGGTAACAGTGCCATCTGTCTCTGCTGAATCTGTATATAACAGACTTACTCTATTAAATCATTAAATTCACTCAGCACGAAACCACCATTGCCGGATGCTGAGAATGATGTATGCATCGGTAGGTCAGAGACTGCTTTCTCAGGAAGACGACACTCAAAATTATTTCCCAGTTAGTCGAGGCACCTAGCGAGGCCCAGAAACCTGGGGAATCTGGTTTTTGGAGCAATAGCTTGGTTAATCCATTTTATTTTCATGAAGTGGTTCACATTCCTCATGAAGAAATAGAGGCTAAGTGACTCAAAACAGATTAGCCAAAAAGACCAGAGTCTCTCTCAGAATTCTTGGTATGTGGGTTGGCAGGATTCCTGTCTGCCCTAGGACAGTCTTTCTCTCAAAATCAAGTTCAAAAAGCATAAATCATTTCCATGTAGCTAAAGAACAGAAACTGTACTGATTCCTCTCCTTGTTTTGTTTAAAAAAAAAAGGAAAGGAAAGGAAAGGGAAGGGAAGGGAAGGGAAGGAAGGAAGGAAGGAAGGAAGGAAGAAAGAAAGAAAGAAAGAAAGAAAGAAAGAAAGAAAGAAAGAAAGAAAGAAAGAAAGAAAAGGAAAGGGAAGGGAAGGGAAGGGAAGGAAAGGAAAGGAAAGGAAAGGAAAGGAAAGGGAAAAAAAAGGCTTACATTACACTCTATCAGAAATTTAACATTTGGATTTAGAATAAACAAAAAGAAATGCCTAGTAAATCACCATGTATTTTAAATTACTAATCATATAACAACTTGACTTCTTAAACATGCTCTAGCACCAAGGAAATTGTTAATCTGAAGAATAGAAAACACTGTAAGAGAAATTTACTTTTCACCTGATTAACTCTCTCGTAAAAATAATTCAAACAGCTTTCAGTTAATTCCTGTTAAGTTTGGTCTTCACTTTTCTTTTTCACTTCTAGTAGAAAAGCTATTTAAAAAAATAAATGTCAAAACATACTATGTTATAGCAGTTCTAAGCAATGTTCACAAAAATAGGTCAAACGTAGTCATCTAGAACTGGACATGCCCGAACTCTTCAATTCTGTTACTCACTCCAGGCAAATTTCAGTTTGCTGTGAATCTTCCCCTTGGCCAAGTCCCTCTAGACATGTATTTTATTTTATTTAAGATTTTATTTATTTATTTGACAGAGAGAGACACAGCGAGAGAGGGAACACAAGCAGGGGGAGTGGGAGAGGGAGAAGCAGGCTTCCCGCGGAACAGGGAGCCTGATGCGGGGCTCGATCCCAGGACCCTGGGATCATGACCTGAGTCAAAGGCAGTCGCTTAACGACTGAGCCACCCAGGTGCCCCTAGACATGTATTTTAATAAAATGTAGAAAACATTGAGATCATGTTCTTCCCCTACCCCCATGCCCTCTTTTCCGTGCATTGGGAACTCATGGAACACCAGCTATGTATTAACCAAGTGTGGTAAGAAAGCTATATTCATGATGCTAAGTTCAGTTTGCTGCCTTGCACTCTCCATGGTTAATGTTACCAAAAGATGTCAAGTGAGCAAGTGGCAAGGGAAGTGGCAAGGGGGCAGGGGAGGAACCGTCAAGAACCCTAAATGGCAGATGGTCACAAATATTTATCAGATAGCCACTGGAAAGGTCACAGAATTCTAACCAATCAATCTGGCAGTGACCTGTCAGCAGAGCTCAAAGGCTGGGGTAGAACCCCCCTCATCCCTCTAAGGTGACTTCACCTGAGGTTTTCCCTCTGCAGAAAATTGCATTTGCAGAAGAGGGTAGAGTGCTGTGAGAACAGAGGGGATGATGACTGGGCAGACTGATAACCGGAGCTCTTTGGTTTCCTTGCTTGTTCTCTCTGAATCACGCTGAGAACAGAGAATATTTTCCCTTCCTCATTTCTCTTTCTCCCATAAAAACACGTGTGTATTTCCACGTATGTTACATGTACAAGTTACCAGAGGTAAGAGATGCTTGAACCTGACTTGAGGAAAAGAGGAGGAAAAAAGACACATCCCCAAATGAGTTTCATTTATATAATGAAAATAAATTTTAACACAATCAACAGAAACACATCAAGTTGTTTTTTTTTTTGCGAAAAATATTTTTAAATAAATTTTTGTCTTTTTTTTTTTTTTTACAGTCTGATATACATATGTAACAAGGTTTATGGCACTGTAACCAGAATCAAATAAAAAAAAAAAAATTAAAGGAAAAAGGTGGGAAGGAAAGTAATTGATTTTTATTGAATTCCTTTCGATCTCCAAGCTGGCAAATTTGCACTATTTGTCTATTATTCGGCTGCCAGCTCTAACTTGTTTGCACACTCAAAACACCGTATTATTGCACAAGAAGCCAGTGAAGGCATATGGTATAATGGTCAGTTCCTCGCTATTTCAAAAAAAATCTCTTAAACCCAGAGAGGGGGGAAAATAATCCCGAGTATGAAACACACAAAATCAACAGTATCTTTTGTCTCTTTAAAGAATGTGAAGGGTTCTTAGACCACTTAAGCTGCCCTGATTTTCTCTTTGCACCAGTGAGTACAACAGGGCTTGGTTTGGTTGGGTTTTTGTTTCCTGTGTGGACGGCCCAGGCAGCTCTCGGGCCTTCGTGATTCAATGTCTTTTCTGTCTCTTACTTTTGGTTCTTTTTAATTTGTGTAAGTTGTAGTATCTTCGGTCTATGAACCTGCACAGACTATTTAATCATAAACTCTACAAATAGCTTAAAAGGAAAAGGGGAAGAAACAAGTTTTATTATATTTTTATTGTTGGCTTAAAAAAATTACTCCTTTAGCCTCCCTGCTTTATCAGTTCGTGGGAAGGAAATCTCAATGGCATCAAAAGATAAATTCTTCTCACACTTGTGAAAAATAAAGTTTTTAAACAAGTTTTGTTTCCATTCACAAACTTTACCCCATCTAAAAAAAAAAAGGAAGAAGAAAGAAAGAAAAAGGAAAAAAGAAAGAATCCATCCTTCTTTCTCTTCGTCTCTTAATGGAGACGAGTAATCCTTTCTATCCAGACTTTTGTCAGACGACCGTTTCCACACCCATCAGCTTTGGTGTAAGGATTCGCGGTGTCACACCGTTGTTCAGGTCTTCCTCAAACTCCAGTAATTGCCCCATGAAGTTAAGGTTTGGGGAAATAATTGGTCGTTTGCCTTTGACAAATTTATAAGCATCAGTCATGGTCATCCGAGTGTGCTTCATCAAGTACGCAATGACGATGGTGGCAGAACGGGACACCCCCGCCTGGCAATGGATGAGAAGCCCTTTCCCACACTGGTGAGCTTCCTCTGGGAAAAGGGAGAAAGCCAAGAGGTGCAGGAAGGAAGAAAGAGATGGAAAAAGAGAGATTAGCTTTTATCCAGACTTGACAATGTTACATTTTGTAGAGAGAGAAAAAAAATAAATAAATTCAAATGGCTTTAAAGCTAAGTATAATTTACTAGTTAATTGTGTAGACTTATGGTTGCAACCTCCAGAACTGGCTAAAAGCAATATTAGCATGAATAAGAATTTATATTTCTCCATTTAAAGAGGGGACTAGGGGAAGGAATCATTCATAGTAACAGTTCACTTCAACTTATTGCAGCCAACACAGTTAACTTCCATGTTAAGCAAGCCACTGATTAAGTAGACCCTTTTGATAAAGAATGTTAATTCCAATCACTAGGTTGTGTGGCTTATCAAAACTAGTGCTGTTAACAATGTCTCTCCCAGCTGTGACAGAGAAAAAACCATTTCTTTCTTTACATTATAGAATTGCTCTGTACAGGAACTGGTATTAAATGGATTAAGGATTTCAGTCTTACTAAACTCTGAGGTTAAAGAAACAAAACCCAACGAGAAAGTTGCTATGTTCAGCTTCATCCCAGAATAGCCTATTATTGCAAATGTAGCTAAAGACTTGCAGTTATCAGGCCCAAGGCGTCACCTATATCTGAACTGTCCAACCTCCCCACATCTGTGTCTGCTGTTCCAACATGGCGGTGATGACCAAGACGGAGGAATTCTAGTGATGGCCCAGAAATCAGAGCAACTGAAAGAAGCAGTACTTTATAAGTTTTCAGATACATTAGAAGCTCAGGGGAGTGGCTTATGGGCACTGCCTAAATGGATTCTTAATGACACTTCTGGACTAAAAGGCGTCCCATAGAAAGAATCCCTGAAGGAATATCAAGTAGATGAAGAGTACGGCAGGGGAGTAAGGAGGAGTGATCTAACTTAAACCACTTTTTTTTTAGTTTATTTATTTATTTAAGTAATCTCTACACCCAATGTAGGGCTCGAACTCATGACCCAGAGATCAAGAGTTGCATGCTCTTCCAACTGCGCCAGCCAGGTGCCCCTAACTTAAACTAGTTCTACTGGCTACCCACCAGTGGATCGAGAAGAGAAACATCATGCAAAATTCCATCTTAAAAATCTATGAATTAGGCTTGTTTCTCATAGATAAAAGTATCTGAAGAAAGAATTTCCCTTTTGCAATTTCTTCTCTTCAGCACACACTATTTACTAACCTCCACACCAAGACTGAGAGGCATGGTGATAGGAAGATGAGCTGCAAAGTGCTAGGTTTGACCACTGGTTTCACGACACACTAGATGAGTAACCAGGTCTGAGTCACTTAACTCCCCAGAGCTTCACCCCTCTGTCTACATAATGGGAGTAATACTCACTAACAAGGCTCAGGGAATATGGGAATATCATCCAATTCAGGAATAAATAAATTGGCATAGTTAAACCCTAAACATACACTCTGCTTAGTTTATATTATTAGACTCTCTGTAAATGTCATTATGGTTACAAAAACTGCTGCTTCCCCTAAAGCTAGACCATACTATTTCAGTTTATCTAATGATATAACAATGAAAATAACATTGTGCCTATGCCGGCTATGATGCTGAATTGTTCTTCAGGTTAAATGCTATTTGTTACTTGTTTTGTTTTCCTTCTAAAAAAATCAGATAAGCCTGAATAACCTATAAGGAATGCAGGTGCCTTGCTTGAAATCCTGTTGGGACAAGCATGCCTGATGCTACTCAATAAATGGAAAACAATCTCTTAACTTCCCCCAGCTGGGATTAAGTCAGATAAAATTGCAGTCATAATCTCATATAACAACCAGAAAGTTCCTCATCTACTTGGTGACAAATGTTTCTTCCTCGGGGCTCAAGGTTTGATTCAAATATTATTAATAAAGAATCTAAGGTGTCTTTGCATCCACAAATGTTGCCATTCTGGAACTAACAGAGCATTGGGAACTTTGCCCCAGCAAAGATAGAAAGGCCCCTATCTCGGAGTCAAGAGCCTTGCATTCTACTCCCTTCTGACACTAAAATTCTTACAATCTTGGAGAAGTCACTTTATTTTTCTGAGTTCAGTGACCACCCAGACTTTCCTTCCAGACTGAGTAGTCCATGGTCCTGCACTGAAGGCACAATTAGCAAGGAAAACAGCTGGGTGACATGAGCAGAACTGCCAACTCTACAGCAAATCTACCAGACCCAAGCCCTTTTTTCTGATAAAGGAGCACCAAACATGAGTGCATTCTTCCTGGGACCTTGGCCAGTAACAATCTGCTACAATATTTAGGAAAAGTACTGGATCACCTTTTTGTGGTAATGAAGGTTGTTGTCACTTGAAAAAAAAATTGAGTGTCTACTAGGTGCCTGGTGTTCCCCCCAAATAATAATTTGAGCCTTAAAACAATTCGAGGCTATAGAAGCAGCAAAAGTTAAAGTTCGGATTAGGGTTAGGCTGGCAGTTACTTCCTTCTGGAGATTAAAGTCTGCTGTTGTTAGATTTCCCCTCCCTGGGAACTACTCAGGCTACACAACCTGATCTTTCCTACTTTAGCGAGTTTGGAGCAAGTCCTATGAAATCTAGTACCATCTCGCTAACGCTCATATTCACACCCTTCTGCTACCCAGTGTTTAAGAACTGACACAAAGCAAGTAGAAGGGAAAAACAACACAGCCCTCTGCTCCTGTCTCCTCTTCACTGATGTGACTGACGTGTAAAGATGTTCACAACAGCACTGTTTTACCGAAAAACATTCTTCAGAAGCAGCCTTTCAGCAAATGCCACCTTTGCCTCAACCTCGTGTAAAGAAGCTATACCAACTGCAGATTAATTTAGCCCAACGTAAGGGAGGCATGGGTGAGTTTGGAGATGGTGTCGTCTTCCCTGTATTTTACCTCTCGCAAGGTCCGACAGCCATGGTAGACCAGATAGCCACAGCAGCAACCGCTCTGGCCTCCATTGCCTTCTTCTTGATTACTTCTTTTGAAATTCTGGGACAAAACATATCCATGTTCTTCCCTAACACCTTTTCATTGAGAACTAGAGGGACGTGGATTTCCCCACCAAATGGAATCACTGTTTCTTTACACCCATCCCAGGGTCTCCCATGCATTTGTTCAACGGGCTGTGACTTAGAAGAACACTTTGGCAGCACGAGGTGGCAGAGCCTGAAAACACCTCAGAGCAGCTTTTCTGCAATGCGGGCATAAACCTTGGGCTTGATATCAAAGCAAAAGCCAGAGGGGAAAGGAAGGTGGAAGACCAGAAGTCCCCTTGGGAGATAGTTACCGATGAACTCAAATGCCTCTTCAAAGTATTGCCGCAGGTTCTGCTTGTTACTGTCAGTAGCCGGCAGCCTCTTGTAGTTGAACAGGCCTTTCTCATAGTGGTAGAGGGGCAGGTGAGTGGTGACATTGATGACGTAGCCGATGTTCAGCCGCTGCATCGTGTCCAGGTCCTGAGCATCCTGCTCATTGCCAAGGAACAGGAAGGGCAAGATGGGCGTCAGCTCTGCATTCTCGATGTCAGGGGTGGTGGGGATGGACTGAGGTAGCATGCTCGAGGCTGCAGATGCGCCGCCCCCCACCTCTCGGCATTCTTGGAGCTGGAGGGAGTTGTCACAGAGGTTTTCATGGTTCTGCTTAAAACTGCTAAGTCCACCTGGAGCAAACACACAGAAAGTGACAATGACCATCCCTAGAACTTCAGAGCTGGCAGAAAAGGCCACTGTCCCCAGAGACATAAGTGTGCATTCCTGCAGGTGCACGTATTTAAAAATAATATCAGAACAAAAACGCAAGGCCATTTGGGGATCCAGGACAAGCTTCAGAGGATCTCACTGCATGTGGTACTTTGGCAATGTGGCTCTTTACGCAATCTGTGGCATGTTCCCCTGGAAAGAGTTCATTTGCAGCACCAGGCAATTTTACCAGCAGCAGATCTGATCTGCCTCAAAGAGCCATATGCTCAGTGGCCTACATAGAACCTTGTACTTTGGGAGCCAAGGAAAGCATGGTCGACCTCCTCGGGTACTGTAGGCATGTCTTGCACTCTTCCATAAGCTGACCTCACCCAGAAAGACAAGTTTGCTCCCAATACACAAGAGCGGCTGTGGACAAGGACCTTGGAAGACCCAGATTACCTTGGCTATAGTCCCAGTAACACAACTTCTTGGCTCTGTGACTTAAGCAAGTTAATTTCTCTCTCTGTGCTTTTGGTTTCCCATCTGTAAAATGAGGGTGATAGCATCTACCTTTTAGTGTGGTTGGGAGTCTAGACTGAATGAATACAGGCAAAGTGTGCAAACCTCCCCATCAACAAGTGCAGCATCATTTTGGGGAATATAGCTTAAGAAAGGGATCTTACCAAAGATATCTAGCTAGATGTACAAAGAGGTTTACTACAGCATTATCTGTTTTGCAGAAAAGGCCAAGGACAAAAACAAATTTTAAAAAAGGAAAAGTTATTATATTCATCCAATGGAATATTATGAAGCCATTAAAAGTTATGAAAGGAATATGGAAACAAAGAAAATATTTCTGTATTTAATGTTAAATGAAACAAAGCCAATTCAAAAACATTCACCATACATGTGATCAAAAACTAAAGGACCATGCAAAAAAGAGCACTTGTTTAAGGTAGGAAGTTTATGGATCACAGTTTATTATTTAAATTTTTCCTTTAATATTGATTAGATGTATCACACACATGCATAAGCCCAAAGGATTATCAGGAGGGTCAAATGACACAATGTACATATAAGGGCCAGGAAATCTGAGTTGATACTATTCCCACCAAGTGGGCTCTATTTCTCATATTACCTTGGCCTTCCTTTTGAAAGGAGGGGGAAGTTAGAGACCTCTTATAAGCTGAAAGCCTCCAGAACACAACATTTATGCCCTCTGATAGACGTCCTACATCTGTCCTGATAGTTTTAGGAGATAAGGCCAGAAAACACAAAACGTGGACAGGATACGGTTGGGTTGAAATAAAGACAGGAAGTCTATCTGTCCACTAGTTTCTGAACGTAACATAAGCCTTTCCCCATTTCAAGTCTCATCTTTGGCATCTACAGCAGGAAGCTCCAGACTATAACCTAGACCAAGTCTCAGGGCTGTGCTCGCCCAGTACACAGCCAGCTAGGCGTGACAACTGGGCAACTCATATTTTCATCAAGGTCCAGCGGTGACACAAAGATCATTCAAAGAGGGTAATATTATGGTCACTCACTGCATCCATCAGTAAGTGCCAAAACCTACCTTTGCTTTTTGAAAAGAAAAACAGGAGCTATAAATTCATTTTAATGGATTCTAGAATTAAACTCTGCCTTTACATATTACTAGTTTACTCTGCTATGAAATCATGATTAAAAAGTTTGTCTGGGCCCTAAGAGATTATTTTTAAAGTAGACAGAAGAAATGGAAAACCAGAAAGGCTTCAGTAGTCACTACTTTCTAAAAAAAATTGAAAGTACCCACCATCACCATTACAAACCCCACGAAAGAGACTTTAAAGAGTTATTTTTAAATCCGCTCAGCTTTGCCTCCATAAAATCCAAGTAAACAATTCACACTGATTTTGTGATGGGACCCTAATTCACTTTTTTTTTCCCTTAAGAAAAAGGCAGTGGTTACACTTTTTCATATAAGATGAGAGGAAAGAACAACAAAATAAATTCAAAAGAAGTCCCTAAGGGGTTCGGGGGGGGGACTTTTGTCTGTTCTTATTTAGGGTACTCAAGCTGTAATTTGTCTTAAAAGCAGCTAGTTTAAAAAAAAAATGCATGCCAAAAAAACCCACACACAGAAAAAAGCAGCATACAGCTTTTTAAAATTCTGTCTCTACACCTCCTTTCCCCATGACATCAGCTGGAGGCTCCCCACCTGCCCAGTTGCCATAGCAGTTACACAAAGACATACAATGACATCAGTTGGCATGATATCAGCTCTTTGAGTACAAACAATACAAGAAGAACTACTTTGTTTAAGGCCTTTGGTGCAACTGTGTTCTGGGGAACCAATGATGTAATGCTAACAGGTGGCATGGGCCTTCCATTTGCCTAATGGGGGAAAAAAAACCATGGGGGAGGGGAGAAGGGAATTTGAGACAGACAGACACAGAATGCTCTGAATCCCAGGGGGTGCTCATGTGCAAAACTACATGTACATTGTATGTTTAAGCCATGCCGGAACTCTGCTCACAGAATATTTGGAGATGGAGAGGATAGAAAAGGAAATATTATAACTCAAATACATGAGTTGGACAAGGAAATTCTCCTTGAGGGGCATGAAGAAACAGTCTCCTGTTCACTTGCCGGTCTGCTGACCAGCGTAGGCATCAGTTCTCACTAAGGGTCATGCAAATCCACACACAGCAGCCACGTAACTCTCCCGGGATGGAGCTTCAAGCAAAATCAACAAGTCGAATCTCACAATGGTGGTTTTTTAGAGAGATGTCTGCAGGAAAGATGGTTTTCTTCTCTTAGGGGATTGGAATTAGAAGCTGGGGAAGGAGGGGTGGGCACACTAAGGCTAATATGGTTTTCTCTTCCAACCACCTTCCCCCCGCCCTAACCCACTAGCGGCTAAACTGTCTGATCACTTAATGAGGAGCTTTGATTATGTCCTGTTCCTTATTACTACATAAGAGCCTTCTAACAGGATAACTAACAAGTGAGGTAGAGACAAAGTAGCTGGTGATTAAGAACCCATGTTAGAGGCAGGCAGACCCAGGCTGCAATGCTGATTCTGCCCCGTAAGAGCTGTGAGTCCTGGTGCAAATCATCGTCCTTCAACTAAGCTTCGGTTTACTGATCTGTAAAGTGGGCATAATGTCACCTACGCATAGAGTTGTGGTATGGACAGCCTGTGTAAACATGTTGCTATATAACCAGGCATTCGATAAACAATGTCTTCTTATCCCGCTATCAGCACTTGCCCTCATCGCCCTTTGATCCGTCCGCACTGCAGTCGGTGAGAACCCTAAGTGCTATGCAGTGGTTCTCAGGCCAGACGGCTTGGGTCTGAGTCCCATTCCTGGCGACACCAGCTACCAGACCCTGAGTAAAATTTCTTAGCTCCTGGTTCCTCAGTTTCCCCAGATATAAAACAGGGACAATAATCGTACCTACCTCACACTCCCATTTTGAGGATTAGACTGGTTAGTAAAAATAAAGTATTTTGAAACAACATCTATCCATGGTAAGCACTTTTTTTGTTTTCATTACTTCAGAAAACTGCTATTTGAAAGATCTAAAAAAAATTTTCTTTGGCTTAATATAAAGACTCTAAATGATCAGTAAGCTAATATTCCAGAGTTTTTACTTTTTATTTTATTATGTTAATCACCATACATTAGTTTTACTTTTAACATTTTATTTAAAAAGAGCTAGGGACCAATGTACCTGAGCAGTTTTAACACTTAAATAATATATTTTTATCCTAAAGAAAGCCGCAGCTCCCTATCCTTCCCTAAACAATAGATCTGATTTCATTTGTTTGCCCTTGCTTCCCCAGTAAAAACTGCATATTTTTTGAATTCCTGTGTGGTTGTTTTTTGTTGTTGTTGTTTTGGTTTTGGGGGGGGTTTTGTTTGTTTGTTTTTTCCAGAAGAGGAGTATGTTTTAAATAAAATGGCTCTTGGCCCATCCCTCCCCCCATGTCCTTGTGGCCACCAGGCTGAGCCATCTTAGGCACACACGATTGCTCGCAGTCACAGTGCAAATATTTTCAAGGCATGAGCAACATTGCTGGGGGCAAACATTTCCAACCTTATCTCAAAACTATGTTCTCTGCCAAAATTAGCATGGTCAGCACTTTGATTCTGAATGGGAACAACAAAGAAGATTCCACCCCTAAAGAAAAATATGTAGAAATGTAAGTCCCAGTTTCTTCCAACAGTACAGCGACAGACCCACTGAAGCAATGGAGTCTAGTTTTAGTGGGAAACTCTCTGTAGATCGGTTTCAGCTCCTGCTCGGCGGTTTTGCAGTCCCAGAAAGAGCAGAGCCTTCTGTAATGTGATTCAGAAGCAGCACTCTGGGTGGCAAAGGAAAGAACCATGTCCAAATACGGAATCTGTAAGCAAGAGATTTCCATATTCTGAAGATGGACAGCACAGTCGCACACACGTTTTTTGGTTTCATGCGAAGCTGGAAAGTGAGCACTCTCCAGAAATGTCAGGAAAACTCTCACTGAAGGCCAGCAAATAGAATGAACCCCCAAAGAGAGGTACAGGGAATGAAAATGCAACTCTTCTCTACCAACTTGCTGCGAGCATACTGAACACCCCTTTTTGTTGTCTACTTTCTCTTAGTGGGTGACTAGACTTTTATTTTTTTAATTTTTTTAAAAAAGATTTATTTATTTTAGAGAGAGAGAGAGTGCGAGCAAGGGGAGGGGCAGAGAGAGAAAGAGAGAGAGAATCTCCAGCAGACTCCGTGCTGAGCACGGAGCCTGACGTGGGGCTCAATCTCACAACCCTGAGATCATGACCTCAGCTGAAATCGAGAGTTAGACGCTCAACCAACTGGGTAAGCCTGGGTGAACAGTCTTTTAAAGTAAAACAGTACTGGGGCACCTGGGTGACTCAGTTGTTAAGCATCTGCCTTCGGCTCAGGTCATGATCCCAGAGTCCTGGGATCGAGCCCCACATCGGGCTCC